TACTGAATGAGTAATTGATCACTAATTTGATGGTGTGGGCAGCTTGCACATAGTTTCTTGAAACGCTCCCAATATTCATACAATGACTCTCCATTGTTTTGCCTTATACCACAGATTTCTTTCCTAATGTTGGCCGCCCTTGAAGCTGGGAAATATTTTTCAAGGAATGATGTCTTTAAGTTATTCCATGTGGTGATGCTCCCAGAAGGTAGATAGTATAGCCAATCCTTCGCTGAATCTTTCAAAGAAAATGGGAAGGCTCTCAACTTGATTTGTTCTTCAGTAACCCCTGTGGGTTTCATACTTGAACACACCACATGGAATTCCTTCAAGTGTTTGTGAGGGTCTTCACCTGCAAGTCCATGAAAAGAAGGCAAAAGATGAATTAATCCAGATTTTAATTCAAATTGGACATTAGCATCCAGAGCAGGGAAAGTGATGCATAATGGTTGTTGATCTAAATTTGGAGCTCCAAGCTCTTTTAAGGTCCGATTTTGAGCCATGGGTTCCTCTTCTAAATCAGAGTTGGCAGAATCGGTAGCCAGATCACTAAACTCTAAATTCCTCAAAGCTTGTTTCCTCCACCTGCGTACAGTTCTTTCAATTTCTGGATCGTACGGCAAGAGTTCTTGATTAGCAGATCGAGTTATAGGCATAAACAAAAAGAAAATATATTTTGATTTGCAATTATGTAAAAGTAATGAAAGAAAAGAAAATTATTATTTTTATTTTCGTTTGGGACAAATTGAAAAACAAATAAACAAATAACAAAATAAATAATTAAATAAATAAACAAACAAACACAAAATAAGCTAGAAAAGTTCTCTGGCAACGGCGCCAAAATTTGGTGAGCTGTCGTAGGCTCCCAAATTAAAACCTTACAAACGTAGTAGCGGGAGTAAGGATCGATCCCACGAGGAGTAACTAGTTTAACTTTTGTGCTCAAGGAAATAATGGGGGGTTTGGAATATATCGAGAATAAATATTAAATAAAAGAGAAATTAAATAAACGAGAAATTTAATCGAACGAATAAACAGTGAAAATAATATATCGAAAACACTTATAATAAGAAACCTTGGTTAGTAAAGATCCACCACTGATCATTGATTAATAAAGTAATTAATATGCAATTGAATATTTGTCGTGAAATTATTTCATTTCTGTTTTCCCTTAGTTGTAGGTAAATAAAGCACAAGCGGTTTAATTACCCCTAACTACTAAATAACCTAAGACAAGCGCTATAGATTTAATTTAATAGCAGCAATAGGAACTAGGAAAACCGACAAACTAAATAACACAAGCACAAGCGGTTGCATTTAATTTAGGAAAATATTCTTCCCGAGTCCAATTATCACTAAGCCGTCAATAATTAACCCAGTTGCTACTGAATATTAGAATAATTTGTAGCACAACATTATCTAATATAGCAAATAATTATATCAAATAAATAACTAGTAGGCCTCCCTAGCAATTAAATGATACAACTATTCAAATAATTTAGAAGAATATTTAATACTCAAAATGCATAAAAACATATATATAATAAAATTAAATAAATAACCTTACAGCGTTATGAACTCCGGGGCTTCAATTTACTAAACCAACTAGAAATTAGCCACAAATGGACATTGATAACAACTTCAACGAATACTATAGAGGAGGGAAGAATGAACGTTCAACAAATGAAACGTTATACTATTTATACAATTCTCAAAATAGGTTCGAATTTGATCCCCACCGTCCATTTCCTATTATTGCGTTGAGCGACGAATTCTTCCGTGATTTTGGTCAACAACACCTTCGGAATCGCATTGCAAATTGAAGAATTCCAATGTTGCGCCGATTGCTTTGCTGTGAAGGAAGAAACAAAATTAATTTTATTTGTTTTGTCTTTTTCTAAGAGTTGAGCCAATATAAATAACCAATGAACTTAGCCTAAACTTATATAAATTAAAGTAAAGGGTTGACTAGTAATTTATTGTGCTCAAAACACATTATTAACTAGATAAAAATATTTATTTTGCTTATTAATTATTAAACTTTAAAAAGAAATAATTATTATATAATACTAAATAAGTAACGAAAAAAAATTATAAAGATGTACCTAAAATATGAGTGTAAAATATGCCTATCAATGCCGCTCCTTCTAACACATAACTATATTTTAACCTAGAATAATACAATTTCTCCTCCCCTAATAAATTTGTTGATCGCACTAATGAAGTGAACACGAGTCAGTCGGAGTATAAAAAGCTCTCTACAATCGTAGAGTTGAGAGACTTGAGGATCCATGAACATATTATGGTGTATGTTGCATCTCTTCTACACCGCGTACTTTGGATTGGATTCACTTAGATTCGGTATAGTTCTGTCAACGGGCTGAACTTGTTCTTGACCTCCAACACCATCTTCATCGATATGCTCCAGGACACGTAGTTGTGTTCGGCCAAAGCTAATGAAACGAGAATTAGGTTTGGATTGTCTGTGACGTGAAGGAATAGAGGATAAATATCATTGTTATAGAACATTCAATATTAGGAATCTTATATATTAGGAAACCTAGAGATTAGGGTTTGAGGTATATGGAAACTTCCATATTAGTTGCCCTCTTACCCCTGCATTTATAGAGAGCTGAAATCTCCCTAAGGTTTGTAAGACAGAGAGTGCTACTCCAAAGGTACTTTTATTCTAAACCTATTCACATGGTATTAGAATCACTTCAATAAAAAAAAATTTCGGCGATCTCTTGTCGTCACCGTCGGTTCAGAAAGGTCCGCTGGCGTCCGGCGACCACATCTGCAGAGTTTCCCAGCGATCTGCCCTACGCGTGGGCCTCACGCGCCACCGTCGCTACCGCCTCCTCCGCCACGCGCCGGCGGGTGCGACTTCTATGGCGACTGGAAAATTCTCCGGTCAAGTCCTCCAGGGTCGCCTAAGTCCTGTAGTCTCAGTTCTGGACTTAGTTTGGACCATTGCCTCTTTAGTTCTAAGGTTAGGTTGTTTCGTACCCCTTCGGCTCACTTTCTGGCATAGTCTTTGATCTGTTTGGCTCAAGTTGTGGTGGGTATGGCTGATAATAAATCTGTTGTTGTAACTGATATTGTTCCTGTGACTTCTAAAATCACGGACTGTAAGCTTAATGACTCTAGTTACTTGGAATGGACTCAAGTCATTAATCTTTATCTCACTAGTTTGGATAAGACAGATCACCTAATAGAATCTTTGGCTGACCAAGAGTCTTCTTGGGTGCGGGATGATGCACGTCTATTTCTTCATATTTGTAATTCTATTGATGAGAGTATTGTTGGGTTCATTAGTCATTGTGGTTCTGTTAAGGAATTGATGGAGTATTTGGATTATTTGTACTCTAGGAAGGGGAATATTTCTCGTATTTATGATGTTTGCAAGTCTTTTTACTGTGCTGAGAAACGCGATTTATCTCTTATGGCGTAATTTATGGAATTTAAGAAAACGTATGAGGGCACTTAATAAGCTTATGCCTTTCACTACTGACATTAAAACACAGCAAAAGCAACGTGAACAACTGCTGTTATGAGTTTTTTGGCAAGTCTCCCTTTCTGAGTTTGATACAGCTAGGTCCACCATTCTTAGTAACTCAGAAGTCCCTACTCTGGCTGCTGTATTCCCACGTTTGATTCGATCGGAGCAACTGCAACCAAGTCTGTCCGAAGTTACCATCCCGCCAAGCAGTGCTCTCGTTGGCCGCCATCCTCACGGTGGGAACTCCCATGGGCAATCTTCCAATCCTCCTCATAGTGGGAATAGTAGAAATTCCCAGGGGCATAGTTCCGGTGGTATTATGTGTCATTATTGCCATAAGCCTGGGCACATAAAAAGGGACTGTAGGAAGTAGTTGAGGGAGCGGGGAAACTCAGCTCTAATGTTGCATATACACCTGAGGCATCTTCCAAAACGGCCATGGTCTCTGCGGATGAGTTTGCCAAGTGCTCTCAGTACCAAGAATCTTTAAAACATTCATCCTCTTCAGTCACTGCTATTGCTGACTCAGGTAATACAACCACATGCCTTCTCTCGTCCTCATCCAAATGGGTTATAGATTCGGGTGCTACAAATCATATGACAGGTAACTCTAGTCTATTTTCCACTCTCTTCTCATCCACATAGTTCCCCTGTCACCTTAGCGGATGGATCCATCTCTTGTGTACTTGGGTCTGGGTCCATTACGCCAATTCCAACGCTTCCCTTGTCATCTGTCTTGCACCTACCTAATTTTTCATTCAATTTAATTTCAGTCAGCCAGCTTACTCGTGTTTTAAACTGCTTTGTTACATTTTTTCCTGATTATTGTTTGTTTCAGGATCTTTTGACGAAGAGGGTTATTGGTAAGGGGCGTGAGTCTGGAGGTCTCTACATTTTTGACACAGCGAGGCCGGAGTCTGTTGCTTGTTCTGGTGTTGTCACTCCAGTTGAAGCCACTACAAAAAAAAAAAAGATATCCACTACACCCATAAAATGCTTTCCGCTACACCTGTGCAGGTGTAGCGAAATCCAGTGTCACTAAAAGCACTGGATTTCCACTACACCCGTAGCGGGTGTAGCGGAAAGCTTTTTTAATTTTTTTAATATAGACTTTCCGCGGCACTCACTAAGCTTAGGGTGCCGCGAAAAGTCTTATATTATTTTTTAATAATTTATTTCCGCGACACCCAAGTCACTGTGGGTGTCGCGGAAACCATTTTAATTTTTTTTTATACGTTACTCTCCGCTACACCCTCTACAAAGAGGGTGTTGCGGAATTTTTTTTAATTTTTTATTATTATTATTTTTTATTTTATCCCAATTTTGATTATTACCTATTATTTTTCAAAACCTGTACAGAATTTTATTTTCAAATCCACCCAAAAAATACAAAACTATCTATTCACAATGGGTTTCAAACCAACTCTAATAAATATGAACATAACCATAACTATATATATACTTCACAATTAATAATTAACACAATAAAACACCACAATATACTTATCAATCCAAATCCACCCAAAAAATACAAAACTAATTACAAAAAATTAAACTATCTATTCACAATGGTTTTCAAACCAACTCTAATAAATATGAACATAAACATAACTATATATATACTTCAAACGCAATATACTTATAACAATCAACACAATATACTTAGGCTCTTAAATTAGCTCTAAGTTTATGTACCTCTATCCCGAATCTTTCTTTCAGCTTTCGCCTTAGTTCCAAATATTCCAACTCCATTGAAGGCTCATGTGTTTCTTCCTGCTCACACTCCTCTTCATAGCCCCTTCCTCCTCTTCACCATCCTCTTCATAGCCCCCTTCATCTTCTTCACCTAATTTCCATCAATCAATTACCATATTCACTTTCCCATATCATAATATATTTGACACTTGAACACATTTGCACACCCAGGGATGAAGAATAATATAAGATGTAGATGAAATGGGGTGGGATGAAGAATAATATCACCAATTCTCATTTGATATACAATTGTGGCAAAGAAAGAGGAAGTTGTGCACAAGAAATACATTTTCATTAGGAAGAACTAAAAGATGAAATGTGGGGACAGGTGAAGAGTTAATGAGCTGAGCAAAGAACACAGCATACAGATTTAGACCTGAAGCAAACTTGTAGTTGAACTAAAGAGAAGATTAATGAGTCAAACACGATCGTACCTTGGTTGCATATCGGTTTTGGTTGACATTAAAATCTGTGTCTATATATCTTGGTTGCATTTTTTAGGCTTGATTTCATACTATACTGAAAGCAAAACAAGCATAATATAGGAGGCAAAACATACTTAGTACAAGCAACAACTATATTAGGTAACAAAACCAAGGAAATAATCCATCACATTGTTTGACACCATATACAGCAAACTCTTCAAAATAACTCCAAACTTAATACTAGCAAAGATCAACTAGAGCCACAAAGTCCACAACTTATAGGGGCAGATAGGTGAAGCAGCAACAGAGGTAGAGCAGTCCATTTACCATTTAAGATTTCAGTGTCTGCAATCAGGAAATGACCATAACCATATAAAGCATGTGCTCTCAACAAGCTCTCAAACACCTGACAGATATGCATTTAAATTTCGATCATTCAAAACCCAAGCATATAGAACAAGTTCTTGCAGGCAAAAAACAAACATTAGTAAGCCAGATCATTAAGAAAACAAACAGAAATAATACCACATTAAGAGATGAATCAAACAGAAATTGACAGTAACAGTCATGAGATATTGACAGATAGATGCGTGCATATAAGAAGGGAGAGAAGAATGTAGAAATAGGATGCAAGTCACACCAAAGAAAGAGGGATGAATCAAAGAATTGAAGCAGTTGGGAAGGATCTATTAATTAAATTAAATGGAAGATAAGTTCATACAAAAGAACAGAATTAAATCAAAAAATAAGCAAAACATGAAGCTCATAATTCCTCACATATTTATAATGCAAATCTTTAAAAGTGGGCGAGCAAGCATTGTAAATTGTAATTGTGAGAAAATGTCATATCTAAAACACAGTTCACAACAAGAGCAAGAAATGCTACCAGCTTAGCATTATCTAAAAGAACAAACTCTTTTTAATGGAAAACTACATTGTCTAAAAGATTTTGGCACCTAATGACCTACATTGCATAGCATTGAGCTACAACATTTGTTGTACGGGAAAACCAAATAAAATCCAAAGAAAAGTAATACGGAGTAATTTTTTTTTTTTTAAACTAAGGAAATTTATAATTATTAAAAAAAAGGTTTCGCAAACTCCATTTTCTATATAAATATATTAAATCTGAGGAAGTAAGGATGGATTAAACCAAAACTCATTCCAAACAGCCAAGCATCATGCTGTAATTCTTGACAGAAATGCAGCTAGATAGAATTAGGCATCCAGAAATCATAATTCAGGAAAAAATAACAAATTTCCCAACTTACATATCACTAATCTCGGTACTCAAATTTATCCACTTTCACAAAATTGATTAAGGAAAAAAACCTTTCTGCAACGATACACATAAATATAGACCCCAAAACATAAATAAAATTAGGGGAAATGGCGCTGATTTTGCGGAAAAAAAAAAAAAAAAAAAAAAAAAAACACCCTCCACTAGAGGAATTTGAGCTCAAAGATAAAATGAACACCGAATGAATTCAGAACTGAAACAATCAAATAAAATAAAGTTTATTTTAAGAAAATTGGATAAAGGTTTACCTCTAGGAGGAGCAATATTCTTCGAATCCAGTACGCGGCCTGAATGCGTGTGGTCTAGAGTGCAGCTTACACTGACCGGCGGTGGCTGAACATGAGAGGGAGGCAATGGCGGGTTGCGGCGGCTGAACGGCGAGGTAGCGACGGCTGAACGACGAGGCGAGGTGGCGATGGCTGAACGACGAGGCGACGCGGCTGAAGGCTGAACGGCGAGGAATGATTGAGCAAAGAAGAAATGAAAATGGGGCTTCAGAACATCGAGGAGCGATTGAGCGAAGAAGAAATGGAAATGGGATTCAGATCTGATCTGGCTCAATTCGCGATTTAATTTAGGGCATTATTTTTATTAGGGTGAATCAACGATTTAGTCCCTCACTTATTCGCGACTTGTCAATGTTGCCCCTGAATCACGTATTCATCGATTTAGTCCCCGAAAATAATTGTTTTTCGTCAAATCAGTCCCTATGGCAGTATTCCGTCAAGTCTCAGGCGAGAACTCCGATTAGCATTGGGCATTTTGGTCTTTTCACACCTTCTTCTTCATTAATTGGCATTTGGGTGGGTAGTTGGGGCCTCCATTTCTGCTCTGCTCTCTGCGAAAAGATGAAGTTCGGGAAGGAACTGGCTTCCCAGATGGTTCAAGAATGGGGGGAAGCATACATGGATTACAACTTTCTAAAGGGAGTTCTGAAAGATATCTCCAGATTCCGGCGGCGGAACGCGGCAGCGGCACAATCATCTGTTCCGACAGCGACGGCGACACGCAAGAATTCGTTGAAGAGAAGGCTGTCCATGTACCGGGCTTTCAGCGGGTTGACGAATCGATTGGGCAGCCCTAGAGGCACTCCCAGGAGCAATCATGAAGATGAAGAAGTTATACTGGTGAATGCTGTGGAGCAGGCTAGGAAGGGGTTATTGGAGCGCCGCAGTACCAAACAATGTTCCCTATGTCGTCAGAAGCCGGAGGAGAATACGAGCTGGTGTTCTTCAGAAGGCTTGACGATGAATTCAATAAAGTTGTTAGGTTTTAAAGAGAAAAGGTGGAGGAAGTGAGGAAGGAGGCGGATGAGCTAAGCAAGCAAATGGATGCACTTATAGCTCTTCGGATCGTCGTAGAAAAACCTCCGGTGCCGGTGGATATCAATGGCGCCCAGTCCCAGACGAGACGAGAACAGATTCTGCAGTCACTGAAACTAAGTCACATATGGATGCAATACAAGAAATTGTGATGAGTGGTGAAGAGGTTGCAGAAGATGGTGAAGCATCTGCAGGAACTGCGACAATGGCTGATCAGAACAACACAAAGATTGAAGAAGAGAAGACTAACAACTTCACAGATTTCAGGCCTGTTCCATTACACGTGTTGTACGACGTAAGAGTCAACATCCAGCCTGAAACTCCCATCTCCACTTTGAAGAACATTTTGAAGGCATCAAAGTCTGAACTGACGTCGGCGACGATGGAATGTCGTCGAAGAAAGATGAATCACTACTGCGGGTGAGCTAATTTCGAAGAGCAGAGAAGAGATGGAGCTCCCTCCGGCGAGCTTGAGCTTCTCCGGCGAAGCTTGGTCAGAGTTAATGAAGAAGAAGGTGTGAAAAGACCAAAATGCCCAGGGCAAATCGGAGTTCTCGCCTGAGACTTGACGGAATACGGCCATAGGGACTGATTTGACGAAAAACAATTATTTTCGAGGACTAAATCGATGAATACGTGATTCAGGGGCAACATTGACAAGTCGCGAATAAGTGAGGGACCAAATCGTTGATTCACCCTTTTTATTATTTTGCCACGACACCCTCAGGGTTGGGTGTCGCGAAAAGTTGTATATATTATTATAATATATAACTTCCCGCGACACCCTATGGCAGAGGGTGCCGCCCCGTGTTTTTAATTTTAAAATTCGCTACACCTTTTAATTAAAGGTGTAGTGTATTCTTATGCACTTATTTACAAGATTGCCATTATTTTATTTTTCTTTTCTTTTCACTACACCTTCTTAATAAAGGTGTAGTGGAAAGTCATAATTATATTCTCACTTTTGTAGTAGTGAGCACATTGTCGTTTGGGGCATCCTTCCCTTCCCTTGTTGAAGAAGTTGTGTCCGCAGTTTTCTAGTTTATCTTTTTTGCATTGTGAGTCGTGTGAGTTTTCTAAGCACCATCGTGTGCATTTGAGTCCTAGGGTTCACAAACGAACATATGCTCCTTTTGAGTTAGTACATTCTGATGTTTGGGGTCCATGTTCTGTGACATCTAAACTTGGTTATAAGTATTTTGTTACATTTGTTGATGATTTTTCTCGCATGACATGGTTATATCTAATGTAGTCTTGTTCTGAATTGTTTGATGTGTTTTGTGGATTTTGTTCTGAAATTGAAACTCAATTTGATATTCCTGTCAAAATTTTACGTAGTGACAATGCTAGAGAGTATTTCTCGCATCATTTTGCCTCTTATATACATGGAAAAGGTATGATACATCAGTCCTCTTGTGTTGACACACCTTCCCAAAATGGGGTGGTTGAGCGCAAAAATCGGCATCTCCTTGAAATTGCAAGGACCTTGATGTTTCAAAGGGGGGTTCCCAAGCAGTTCTGGGCTGATGCTGTTTACACAGCCTGTTTCTTGATCAATCGTATTGTAACACCCCGTGTTACGGTCTTCAATCCCGGATTAATTATTTAATTAATTTCATTAAATAATAATTAAAAAGGATTTAATTTGGTTAGGATTCCCTTTAATTAATTAATATGGTCCACCATGGATCGTGGACCCTTGCCTAAACTAGAGTCTTAAGCCTATTAGGAATAAAGAGAGTAAACCTTTTACGAGTCAGATTCTAATTAGGAATCCTAGACCTATATATCTATTAGGAATAAAGAAAGTAGGCCTTTACTATTCAGATTATGATTAGGATTCCTGATTCTATAAATAGGGGATTAGAAAGCAATTAGAACCCTGACCACCCATAGTTATATTACACGAAATTATTCCCAAGAAATTCCCCACCACCAATCCTAGGGAGATCAATCGGATGGAAATCTTAGGGAAGAACCTTAATAGCCAAGGGAGGATTAATTAAGGCTAAGAGGTAATTCATGTCTCAACAAAACCTATTTTCCTCGCTATATCTTCTTCATTGGCTCCTTTGAGATATGATTATGTACTGTGCTTGAGTCTTGATAGAGCTTTGCTTAGGGTTTATATGGTGTTTATATGATAATCTTGATGTTTATGTGTTAATCTTGATGCTTATATGATAGTCTTGATGTTCTTGATACTGTGATAAGTTATATGAATGATCTTGTGTTTTGATTATGTCTAAAGCCCTAAGGTAATAAACATGGATTTCGTATTATGTTATTCTTGGTATGTTTGGGTGGGAATTTGCATGATTGGGTGTTGAGTCTTGGCATGTTTAGGAATAGTGTTAGGAAGTATTTGGTGCGATTCTTGTTTTAAATCCATTGATTAAATACGTGGTGTGGTCATTATGTGTTTGGACGTGTTTGGACATGGTTTCAGGTTCTACAAGGGATCTCGGGGCCATAAAGTTGCCATCAGTAGGGGGTAGGTGGGGGACTGACCACCCGCCACCTACACGCTGCCCGCCGCTACTGTTCCAGCGGGCAGCCGGCGGGCGGTGGACTGCCCGCCGGCCACCCGCTGGAACAGTGCCCGCCGTCGGCGGGTGGTCCTCCACCCGCCACCTACCCGCTGGAATTCCGGCGTGGTTCGTGGTGTTTTCCCCCGTTTGTTGTTTCCCCGTGTCCTGTTGTACCCCGTTTGTCGTGTATGAGTCTACTTTGATATATCGGGTACCGTTCTTAGGATAAAAGGGTCTTGTGTATTGCATGCTAGTTGAATTGGTATCCCGTTGGCCTAGGAGGAAGGTGTATGATCCCGTAGGAGTGTCATGAGTGGTTTAAAATGGTTTGTTACGTATGAGTTATATTAGGACAAGTGTTCCCCGATGATTCCCCCTCGTTATGTGTCAATGTGGGTTGCATGTTGTTTGGCTTCTATATTGATTATGCATGATACCCCAATTGGTTGCGATCAATTGGCTATAATGACTATCTGGTGGGTTGAGAACCACCAGGTATTAACCCGACCGGTTGCGATCGGTCGGCTATACAGGCAGTTGGATTGGTTGAGAACAATCGGCTGTTATATATATACATATATATATATATATATATATATATAGTGCTGCGGTCCATAATCTAGTTGCGATCAGATCTACATGATAATATGGTTGCGGTCCACCGTTTGGTTGCGATCAAACGTTTATGACAAATGAGCTGCGGTTCATTGATTGGTTGCGATCAATCTCCTTGTGCTGCGGTACAAGTTAAAGTGTTGCAGGGCCATGTCAGAGCTATATGCGTTGACCCCTTGGCAATGGAACTCAAGGTTCGGGTCATGTGAATGGTCCTGCGGCACCACCATCTGTGTGTACAGCAATGCGTGTCTTATGGTTGATTGTTTGACTGTGATGATAACTGGATATTGATATGGTTGATATTGTGTAGTCTTGTGACGTTAGGATGCATACTAGAATCTTTATGTTTAACTGTATTGAATATATCTGCTATTGCTTGATTGAGTCTGTTCTCGGATTTAAATTAGAGTTTCATAAGTATATATGTATTCCAGTTTCAAAATGAGTTTCTTATATCTACCTATATTGTACTTAACGCGTTGGAGTGGGTTACCAGCATTATTCGCTAAACAGATATTATTTGGCTTTCAAGTATAGACGAATAGCTTCGAAGCGCACTAGTTGGATTCGTGGACTTAGTTTAGGTAGTTCTAGCCTGAATGAGATGGCCTGCATGCCTTGATTCGTATTTGGGTATTAGTTATGGCTTATGCTTTGTTAGTTAGTTTAGCCTGTGCATCTGAGTTCTCCAGCTCAGATGTGGCATAGCACCCCGACCATTATGTCTAGTTTCTACTCTGTTTGGGAATTAATAATAGAATTGCCTTTATTCCATAAGCTTTGAAAGTTTTAAAAATTAGGGGTGTTACACATATGCCCTCTGAGGTTTTGGATGGGAAAACGCCTTGTCACACTTTGTATCCTTTGAAATCTTTGTTTCATATTGACCCATGAATATTTGGTTGCGTGTGTTTGTTCGGGATGTCCGTCTCAATGTCTCCAAGTTAGATCCAAAGTCTTTGAAGTGTGTATTTCTTGGTTATTCTCGTGTGCAAAAGGGGTACAAATGTTACTCTCCCGAGTTTGGTAGGTACCTTGTTTCCATTGATGTCACCTTTCATGAGGATGTTCATTTCTTTCCTGCATATCCTGATGTTATTCGTGAGGGGGGGGGGGGGGGGGGATGATGTAACACCCCTAATTTTTAAAATATTTAAAACTTATAAAATAAAGGCAAATCTATTGATATCCCAAACAGAGCATAAACGGAACATAATAGTCATGGTGTTATGCCACATCTAAGCTGGAGAACTTAGATGCACAAGCTAAACTAACTAATCTAAACATAAATCCATAAATCCAAAATTACGTACAAATC